TACAGCCTCAGAAACCCTATACAGGAGAGTGTAGGGATGAATTTGTCAGCACACAACTGCCGCCACCACTCCTTGACTCAAAGGGGACTTTAGGAAACCAGTTCCCTCAAGGTCTGAAGACCATTTCAGGGCGATGGTCTGGGTGGTCACCCCAACCAACCTCCATGGACCCCGGAAATCGGGATTTCGTGAGAATGAAAACTCCATTTCTCAAGCCTCAGCTGGTGTTCTGTGAGGCAGTTCCCTCCCCAGACCCTTCCAAAGTTGGACATGAGGAACTGCAGCCTGTCCACGCCTCTGGGCCTTTGCACACCCCATTCTACACAAACCCCCAAACTCCAACCTGTCCAGTTGTTTCCAACTCATAGTGACCCTGCAGGAGAGGGCAGAGCTGCCCCACAGGGTCTCCAAGGCTCTCGTCTTTGCAGAAGCAGACGACTACATCTCTCTTCCATGGAGTGGCTGTTGTTGTTGTCAGGTGCCATCAAGTCAGTGCCGACTCATAGAGACCTTATGCACAGCAGAACGAAACACTGCCCGATCCTGGGCCAACCTCACTACTGTTGCCACTCTTAAGTCCATTGATGCTTCCACTTTGCCAATCCATCTTGTTGGGGGTCTTCCTCTTTTTCTCTGACCCTCCACCTTACCAAACATGATCTCCTTCTCCAGTGACTGGTCCCTCCTGATAACATGTCTGAAGTATGAGAGACGAAGTTTGGCCATCTTGGCCTCCAAGGAGCACTCTGGCTGGTGAGTCCTAAATGCTGACCTTAAAGGTCAACAGCTGAGTGCTGAACCGCTTCCCACAAGGCCTCTTTTTCCCATTCTACACAAGGAATGTTAAAACATAAATCATATTAAGCCAATAACAGATGCTGATTGAAGTTCATTTCATGTGAACCAAGCCACCAAATTAAACCCACTGCCTTCAGGACTGTTGGGACTCCTAACAACCCTACAGTGCAGGGTAGAACTGCTCCCTAGGGTCCTAGGCTGTAGGTCTTTATGGAAGCAGATCGTCATATCCTTCACCCCATGATCGTCTGATGGGTTTGAACTGCCAATGTTTTGGTTAACAGCCCGATGCTTCACCTGCTTACCACCAGTGCTTCTTATATCACAACTTGTTGTTGTGGTTAAGTGTCACTGTGTTGGCCCCAACGCATAGCAACCCTGTATAGGGTTTTCCAGGGAGTAAAAAATGTTCTAGAGAGGAAAGAACTTCCAAAGGTTCTTTTAAAGTTTTTTTTTATTGTGGATTGAGTGAAAGTTTACAGAGCAGATCATCAGTTTTACATTTAATAAATCATACACCTTGTTTCATTACAATGATTATAATCCCCTCCATGTACCATCAGTTAACACTATTTCTCTCTATTCACTTTAACTCTTGCATTCTTCCCTGTGCCTCCCACTACCTTCATATTTCCTCTGTCAACCTCTTTAGGTATAGATTACCTGCCCTGTCACCCTGTTGACATCTGTCTATCCTCTAGTCCCTGAATAATTTTGACTCATACCAACCCCGTATGAGTTCTGAGGGTTTAAAACTTTTCATAGGAGTAGAAACCTCATCTTTCTTCTGTGGGATGGCAAGTGGGCTCAAACTGCCGACCTTGTGATTCCCAGTCCAGAGCGTATCCTATGGAGCCACCATGCTCCCAAAAACCATCATAGAAGATTTCTTTTATCAAGAAAACCTTTTCTTGACTTTTTACAACATTGGTCTCATCCAAGATTTATCCTATTGTGATTAACTAATTTCACTCAGCATTGTCTTCCAGGTTCATCCATGTTGTGAGATATTTCAAAGATTCATCATTATTCTTCAACAATGCGCGTAGTATCCATTGTGTTTGTTTGTTTAACCATTCTTCTGTTGATGGACATTTAGTCTGTCTCCATCTTTTTGATGTGTCTCTTGTAGACAGCATATTGAAGGATCCCAGTTTCTTCTCTTCTTATCTATTCTGCTTTGTATCGCTTGACTGGTACATTTAATCTGTTTAGATTCAGTGTAATTATCGATAGGTATGAATTGGTTGCTGTCATTTTGCTGTGTTTTTTTTTTTTGGTGCTACTGGTTCCTTTGTTCCACATACTTTTCTGCACTGAGTTCATGTTGTTTGTGGGTTTTCGTTACAAACAGCCATCTCAGATTCCCTATTTTCAGCCTCGTAGGGTTAATGTGCCAGACTGCAAAGCCGTCAGATCTGCAAGGTCAGCAGTTCAAGCTCACCAGCTGTTCCTTGGAAACACTTATACAGCTATAGGTCAGAACCAACTTGACAGTACTTACCAGCAACAACAAAGGTTGTTTTATGAAATATTTCAATATCTGGATTGAGTCCTGGGTGTTGTTGTTATGTATTAACACCTCAGGTTTGTTTTTAATGCTTCTCAGTCCAACGGAAGCCCTTCAGCACTTTTTCTAAAATGTCTAGAGTGTAAGACACAAGGTGACAGGTTACTCAGTATACACCCGGTCTGGTTATTGACAATTCATTTTCATTTCTATTGTGTTTACTAAATCTTTCCGGTTTTCTTCTTTTTTATTTGATGTGAAGTGTGTGTTACTTTTCTTTGCGGTTACCCTGTTGTTTATTAATTTCTCCCTTCCCCCAAGCCCCCTGTTTAAAACTGTGTTTTATCGTGAAATCTGCTTGACTTCCTTGCCGTTTGGAAGTTCTGTGTCTGCACTGTTCTCTCTTTCTGCATTGTAGTTCACTTCATTATGGGAGGAAACAATTTCCAAATTGGGGAACTCTGGGTGGAAAGTTCCACCCATCGGAAACCACACAAGGTTCAATATTAAATTATCAGGAATTAATAGTACAAAGTATTCTGATTGGCTAGCTTTAATAAGTGCTTCTCATTGGCTATTTTTGGTAAATCATTAATGACACGCCTAGGTAAATTCTCTAGTTTTTGTCTAAGCATTTTTTCTGGGTACTAGAAAAATTAATTTAAAAAAATTTTAGGGCTTCAAACCAATTCAAAACAGTTCAGTCATGATGGATGGAAATAGCATACACATATTGCATAGCAAACAGATGTCTTGCATGTCAGATTTTGACCCAAATAAGATAAACACTGGACTGCTAATTGCAAGATCAGTGGTTCAAATCCACCAGATGTTCCTTGGAAAGTCTATATAGTTGCTATGAGTCAGAACTGACTCGACAGAACTTAACAACAACAACAAAGAAGTAGGCAATGGTGCCTCCCTCAAAGATGGTGGCCGATTACACCACCGTCTTTAAGCAGGGCACCATTGCCTGTTGGTCAAAATTGGACTTAGAAAAGTTCTGGTTGCTATACAGTGACTATGAAGCCTTTGTATCTATTGGCCATGACTGGATCATTTAGAACTGGTTCGAAGATCTCCTGTTAACCCACTTTCAACCACATTCTTCCTGAGGGCAAGCTGTCCCTCCCTGGGTTTGCCAGGGTTTGTTTAAGCACAGACACGTTGTTGATTAAGAAGTCCTGGTGTGGCTCTGTGGGCTAATGCGTCAGACTACAAAGCTGTTTGAACTGCAAGGCAGTGGTTCAAACTCACCAGCTGTTCCTTGGAAACCCTATACAGTGTCGTTATGGGTCAGGATTGACTTGATGGCACTTCACAACAACAACATTGTTGGTTAAATGGTCAGCAAGCACTGGGGAAGTCACATTAAATAACTCAAATGGAGTTCTGATGTTAAGACTCAAAATAGAATTGGGGCTATAGCTGTTTACCATAGTTTTCTAAGTGCTTTAGATATTAGCAATCTCTCTCTCTCTCTCTCTGGAGTCCTGGTGTGACTCTGTGGGTTAATGCACTGGACTGCAAAGTTGGTTTGAACCTCAAGGTCGGGGTTTCAAGCTCACCTAGCCGCTCCTTGGAATCCCTATGAGCTTCTATGTTGCTATGGGTTGGGTCGGGACCAACGCAACAGCACTTAACAACAACATATATATATATATATGTGTGTGTGTGTGTGTGTGTGTGTGTAGTCCTAATGTGATGCTGTAGGATAGTCTGTGTGTGTGTGTGTAGTCCTAATGTGATGCTGTAGGATAGTGTGTGTGTGTGTGTGTGTGTGTAGTCCTAATGTGATGCTGTAGGATAGTGTGTGTATAGTCCTAATGTGATGCTGTAGGATAGTGTGTGTGTGTGTGTAGTCCTAATGTGATGCTGTAGGATAGTGTGTGTGTGTGTGTGTGTAGTCCTAATGTGATGCTGTAGGATAGAGTGTGTGTGTGTGTAGTCCTAATGTGATGCTGTAGGATAGTGTGTGTGTGTGTGTGTAGTCCTAATGTGATGCTGTAGGACAGTGTGTGTGTGTGTGTA